GAGAAGGTGGCATGGCTGCTACCACGGGTCACTGCCTGCAGCGGAGCTGCCCCTCCAAGAACTGGTGCGACTTTGTATGATGCATGTGAAAGTGCTCAAACCCAAGTAATTATAAATGCTAATTGAAACCTACTGAGTTATTTTCATTCATTATGTGACTAAATCCTCACTTATTGTGAAATTACTAGGAATTTTGGCTTCCTGTTTTGTGGGTTTTTTTAAAATTATTTCTGGCTGGTGTACACTTCTAATTAACCTTTTAAATGTATATTTTTAAAATAAGTTACTGTGTTTCGTAAGTTGTTGTTTTTGTTATGTGAGTGGGAAGTCTTGTGTTCAGATTTTTGAAGAAAATTACTAGAAATTTGGCCAGGTGTAGCTGGGCAGTGAAGACGGCAGCCACCTCCTGTCTAGGGATGGAAGAAGATTTGGCAGGTTTTGTATCTACAGGAATGCAGAGCAAGGCCCTGATTTTCCCCTTGGTACTCTGTCAGGAAATAACTCTCAAATTAGTTTTGTGGATGAAGGGAGACGGGGACCTGTGGAACCAAGCTCTGGCTTGACCTGGGAGCCCTTGCCAATGCTATATATTATGTTTGTCTAAAGTAATCGTGATAAAATTGCTTCTGTGCAGTGGGATCCTGAGATACAAGTAGAGGAGTCATGATTGGCCATGCCTTGTGTTGGTGATCAGCAAACGGAGCTGTGGCTGGGAGGGGACTCAGGCTTGTGTTCTTCGGGTGGTGGTGGTTCCATGAGCTTTCATCTTGGCCCCTTGGGTCAGTTATTTTGGGGCACAAGGTTGAGGAGGCTCTTGCCATCTTTTCACCTACTGTTCTTTGTGTAAACCATGTGTTTTCCTTTTGAAATCACTTGTCACATCCAGAAATGTGCTCCTCAGATTCAGGAGACAGAAATCCCTGGAGCATGCACTGTGCCCCACCAATAAGGTATTATTTGTGTCTTTTTCCCAGTGGTGACTTTTCTGTTCCCTCTTTCAGCAACATCTAGGAAATGGAAAGAGTCTTCACCTAATGCATCCCTTTCCTTATGCTTGTGAAGAGAAGCTAAGCAATGCCAGGAGGGATGCAGGTGAGACTGGATGGTGAGGGCTGTGTTTGTGGGTTGGACAGTTAATAGAGATAGTGGAATTGACTGGCAAATAATGAAGGGATTTGTTTAGGGTTGCACTTGGCCTGTAAGAGAAGGGAAGGTATGGAATATGAACTTCTAGAGGTCAGTGTGTGGCCAGGATAATTTTGGAGAAGACTTTGATCAGCTTAAACCTTGGATCCGTGCATGCTGTTATGAAAGCAGAGGAAATGTACCTGTAGGATCAGCATTCATAACTGAATGGAATGAAAATGGTGGAAGGCTTTAAATACGCACAGCCTGTCCTCTTGGTTTGTCCACCCAAGCAGCAGTACAGCCGCTTCCTGTGGATGTCTCTGAGGTCTGACTTCGTGGGGTTGATGCTTTCCTCCTGTGAGCACTTCTTGTGGAGAAGGCAGTAGATCAGTTTTACGATATAGATGCTGAAATGGTGAGTGATTGCAGATACTAAAATAGACTTTGTTTTTGTAGTTTAGGGCTTGCTTTTATTACCAAATTGACCTTTAGATCAAGACACACATGATTTGGCTGCTAATCCTTAGTGCCAGATGGAATTCTTTTCCATTTTTAAATGATAGAAGTAATGAGTCATTACTCTGTAGTAAAAGAAACAGATTGCTTACATGTACAGGAGACAGGGTTTTGGAAATCAGCAAAAGGTCATGGAAAATGCTGTGTTTTCCTCCTCCTTATCCCACCCAGGGCTTCTATTCAGCTGTGAATGGGTTGAACTGTTGAGATGTGCAGGTTGGGTGCAAAAATTGATGAAAGTTCATTGTAATTGGTTTTGTAAAATTGTGGTTGAAAGCAAGCTCAAAATGGAGCTGAGAGAACTGTTCATGAACTTTGTGTTGCTGAACTAAGGCACCTGGTGCAGCTGTGAATTTTTTTGCAACGCACTGCTGTCTCTAGGATGAGCCTACATGAATAATTTTTCTTTGATACGTTGCATGCATTTAACTGTTGGCTTTTCTCCCTGTATAAATAATGTTTTCTGCTCGTTAATCACTTTTACGACTGTTCTCTGCAGTTTCTCAGGTTTCTTAATATCAATCTGATAACTGGAGTTTGGAAGGTTACCTGTGCCCGCAACAGTGCGTTCATTTGAGAGCTGTCACCCCGCTGCAGTGAATTCTTGTGGCTGGTACTGAAGGTTGTAATAAGGTGTGTAGCTCAGGGGTGTGTGTGAACCTATGACTCATCAGGCTGCAAGTAAGGGAGCTGTGCTCAGGAAATTAGGCACAATCCTAACCTAGAGTAAATTGGATATAAAATTTCTTGTATTTTCTGGTAGGCAGAAGGCCCTGGAATCAAGGAAGCTTTATTTCTTTATAACGTCAGTGTGGTGGAAGCTAAGAAATCTCAAGTTATTAATACATAATACAGTGATTTAATACAGTGTATTCCAAGCATCATCATCAGTACCGTTGGTTGGAAGGGAGCTCTGGTGATCTGGTGCAACCCTTTTTCGACTGGAAGCATGGCCAATACTTGGTCCAAGTCAGCTGTGGCTTTCTTGAGCTGACTTCTGGAAAACTCTCAAGGCTTGAGATTTCCCAGCCTCTCTGAGTACTGGTTTCAGGGCTGTACCAGCCTTCCAGTGAGAGTTTTTTCAGAAGCCCAATGTCAGCTTTCCTAGCTGCAGTTTTTTGCCTTTG